ATGCAGGAAATGTATGTTCATTCATACATATATACTCTCCCTTCTATTTATACTCTTAAAAACCACTATCAAAAAGTCAGAGTTGATAACCTTAAAACAGTCCCCATAGAAAAAAATCTGAAAAAAAGATTCAGATTTGTGTTTTTTTAATTTAAAGCAGATTCCGTCTTCCATCACGGGAAGGCAGGCACCTGGTTTCTTCACCTACTTGGTAAGTTTTGAAGAGTCCATCCATTAAATATATATTTGTTTGATTTTCTGAAATGTCATCTTCTTGCAAAGCCATGGGTATATAATAAGTTCCATTTAAATAATGGCATTGTGCCATTTTAACATGAAATTTGTGCTGTGTTTCAGAGAATAAATAAGACTCACGCAGTCTTTCTAAATCAGATCTTCAGCCAGTCAGTTCATTTCCGTAACCTAATCAACATTAAATAAGGGGAAACACCTTCGGTCTTCAATTCACTGTAGAAAAGACAACATGATGATCAAAATGCAGAATGTTAAACTCTAGTGATCATGGCTGGACCACCATACTCAACTACCACAATACTATTTGTCTGTAAGTTTTATGTGTACATAATTTTCTAATTTCAGTCTTAACAGTTATCTTTATACTCAAATCTCTCTCTACAGTTAATTCCATTGTATATTTGTAAAGCCAGATTTACAAAACCAAAATACCACTTACATTTTTCAAGCAACCAATGGGCCATATTTTATTCTGCAAATGTGAGTCCTGCCTTTATATCAGGGGTGCCCAGCCCCTGGGCCAGGGACTGGTACCACTCTATGGCCTGTTAGGCATAGGACTACACAGCAGGAGGTGAGTAGTGGGCAAGAGAGCAAAGCTTCATCTGTATTTACAGTCACTCCCTATCGCTCACATTACCTCCTGAGCTCACCTCCTGTCAGATCAGCAATGGCATTAAGAGTCTCATAGGTGCGCGAACCCCATTGTGAACTGTGCATGTGATGGATCTAGGTTGCACACTTCTTATGAGAATCTAATGCCTGAATATCTGTCTCACCCCCGGATAGGACCAGCCAGTTGCAGGAAAACAAGCTCAGGGCTCCCACTGATTCTACATTACAGTGAGTTTATAATTATTTTATTATATATTACAATGTAATAAAAATAGAAATCAATGTAATGCACTGGAGTCACTCCAAAACCATCCTCTCCACCCTGGTCCATGGAAAAATTGTCTTCCATGAAACTGGGCCCTGGTGCCTAAAAGGTCGGGGACTGCTGCTTTATATCATTGACACAAGAATTTCTATCAAAAATCACAGAACAAAGGGGCCATTCAGTCTCGTTTCACCACTGCAGTTAGGAAATTTCCCCCATTTGGCCTTTCCCAAGTCACAGGGAGAAGAAAAAGAACAGTAAACCTTTAACTATTAATTAGTTAAATGCTAATTAATAGCTGTAGCTAAAGAGTTGGCAAAAGAAGTCATTCTCTACAACATGACCCCTATATACCAGCCAGAGTGCCAGCATTCAATACTAGAGTAGTTACCATATGAAGATAACCAGCTGTTTCTTTGTCTGCTCCATTCTGGCCCCATTCCCTCCAGGTCCAAGCAGCTATGATTGGCCATAGTGCTTCACCACCCCAATTGGAATGGTACAGATGGAAGGCAGCAAAATATTAGCCATCCTTCCTTCCCTTGGAATGTCACACTTGCTCTCCTAGTCCAAACCTTTCACATCTTCCCCAACTGACGTGACTCCACTCTCCCTGTTTCTGAAACGTAGGCATTTCATCTCCTCCTGGGAAACCTCTGGGGCTCCATTTCTTTTCTTTCCTAGAAGTTGCAGGGCTAGTGGCCAAAAAGCTTATAACAAGCATCTGTAGGCCAAAAGATTTTAGAGGACTTGAATCCTAATAGTTTCATTTCTAGTCTCTAATTACGTACATCATTAGCAAAATGAAATACTGTTTCAGACAGTTTTAAAGAGAGAGAAGAATCTTCCTGAATTCCTAGACTGATGCTAATCACAGTGGGTCTGATTTTTTCCACCTCTGGCACTGGGCTGAAGAGAGTTTTAGAAAATGAGATTCTTCCCAAGAGAGACTAGCTTGGGAAATTCAAAAGCTGCTAGAAGAGGAAGTTTTTAATCACTTTTTAAATGATACATGTAATTAGAAACTATGTTTTCTTTCAAATGATAATTTCATGGGGTTTGTGGAAATGAGATTTGAGCCCAGATTCTGATTCTGCCAACAACCACAACAAAAATTTCACTTAAAAAAACGACTTAGTTGGTTTCAACCATCATTTCAATTTCTTTAATAGGTCATCATCATCACTTGAAATCATTCATTATTAGGTAGTTGTTGAAGAACCTTGTCCTTAGCAATGCAGGAAATTAAAAAGAACTATTCTTGCCCTGGTGATATTTATATTAATAATTTATTAGAGTTGACAACATAGCAGTTTCAATAAATGCCAACAATTAAAGATTAAAATGTCCATCAATGGCATAAAAATAGAGCAACAGAAGAGGAAAGACAATAAAGGAGATGATCTATAATGTCTAGGTGTTGGAGTTGAGATTGGGCTTGTTTTGGGGCAAAGAAGAAAAAAGAGATATCTAAATTTGTTCATTAATTTATTTAGTATTTCTAAGTTAGGCTTTGAGGATTAAATGATGAACAAGATTAACACAGTTCTGAATAGAAACTGAGGGACAGACAGTAAACAAATGATTACATAAGTAGTGACATACTGGAATCTTTCTTCAGTGGGTTGAATGTCAAACATGTTCAATATAGGTTGTGAAGACGGGGTGGAAGAAGACAAAGACCTTACCTTGTAGAGACAGCCTTAGATACCTTTGTCCTAGGAGTTTCAGATGAAAGTGCTACCTGGGTTTTTAGTTCTTTATTCTAAAATTGAAAAAAATGCAGGCATCAAGTAACTAACACATTTATTAGCTACACCCTGAATGCTTCTATTCAACCCAACACCTGCCTCACTCCTTGGCAGTAAGTTTGTTATTGCAGTTATACTATAGAGCAAAGAAAAGAGACAGGTGAAAGTCACTAAATATTATCTCTGAAGATGCAGATACTCCCTAAAAATGTATAATTTACAAAGTGACTAAAATACAGTATTCTGATTTAGCATCTGAAATTCAACAGCTGAAGGATCTATATTTTATTTTACAGAGTTTTAAAAATACAGACAAATGAAAAGAACTTTTAGGGAACCTTGTTAAAGATACCCATAATATCGATCACGTGTTCGTCTTCCTTTTGCAATCTCTTGATTATAAACCCCATGAAAATAGGTCCCATCTGCTCTTTACTATTAATGTAAGTTCACGGCCTCTATAGCCTCAATTTTCTTATGAAGCCTTAGTTTCTTCATATCTATACTAGCGGTAAATGATACACGTACTGCCTACTTTGTGTAAATTGTTGGAAGAAACAAGTGTCATATGAACATACTATTTTACATCTGGAATCACTCTCATAATTCTGGGAGTTCATGCAACAGCTCAGAACAGGAGTAATGGCGTTAGAGCACGAGTTCTCACGTACAAATCCTAGCACGGTCACTCACTGGTTATGTGACCTCATTTAGGTTACTTAACCTCTCTGTGCCTAATTTCCTCAACTGTATTAGAGATATAATAATAATAACACCTTCTTCACAGATTTGAAATGAGATAAAAAATATGTCAAGTGCTCAACTAGTGCCTGGCACAGATTTTAAGACGTAAAGGCAGTTGGTTATGATTTTCTAGTCCAAGTGCCCTTTTTTATTTGTTTTTAGGCACTGTCTGGCTCCGTCATCCGGGCTGGATACAGTGGCACTATCTCAGCTCACTTCAACCTCCACTTCCCGAGCTCCAACCTGCCTCCCACTCAGTCTCCCGAATAGTTGAGACCGCAGGTAAGCGCCACTATGCCTGGCTAATTTTTGTATTTTTGGTAGAGACAGGTTTCACCATGTTGCTCACACTGGTCTTAAACTCTTGGACTTGAGTGATCCACCTGTCTCAGCCTCCCGAAGTGCTGGGATTGTAGGTGTGAGCCACCGTGCTCAGCCTCAAGTACTATTTTTATAACTACAAATTGAATTCCAAAGACTTCCAGTGCCCCACATCCTATTCATGCAGAGCTCAATGCCAAGCTGTGTCCTCCCATCCAGAGCCAGTGTTTTCTCTACAACATAGTCAAGCGAGCAATTTCACTTCCCAGATCTGGAAAGTGAGACTTAAAACAGTGAAGGATCATGAGCAATGCGGAGTTGCCAGTGGGTTGCACTGTCGGGTGAGGGGTCTTTAAAGGACACATCCATATAAAAGTGTCTGGGACCAAAAGGTAGCTGGGTGGAACGATGACAGGTGATGAACAGCAGCACACCAGCTCCCTTCCCTTTCTAGGAACACAGACGTAG